TGGTTTCACAATCTTAATTTTTTCACAACATAATTCCTAATGGCCCTCCTTCAAATTTATTTTCCCTGAAAAGAATTCTCCATTTATTAAACATTATGCCCAAAATGAAATCTAGGTAGCTGTTCTTGATTCCTTCACAAATGATCAATTTCCATGATGCATTGATTCTACCTCCAAAATATCTCTTGAACTTATCTACCACTTTCCTATTCCACTGCTACCACTTTAATATAGGTTACCAATCCCAAAGAAAGGAAATGCCAAAGAATGCTCAAACTACTGCACAATTACACTCATCTCACACGCTAGTAAAGTAATGCTCAAAATTCTCCAAGCCAGGCTTCAGCAATACATAAACCGTGAAATTCCAGATGTTCAAGCTGGTTTTAGAAAAGGCAGAGGAACCAGAGATCAAATTGCAAACATCCTTTGGATCATCGAAAAAGCAAGAGAGTTCCATAAAAACATCTATTTCTGATATCTATTTATTGACTATGCCAAAGCCTTTGACTGTGTGAATCACAATAAACTGTAGAAAATTCTGAAAGAGATGGGAATACCGGACCACCTGACCTGCCTCTTGAAAAACCTGTATGCAGGTCAGGAAGCAGCAGTTAGAACTGGACATGGAACAACAGACTGGTTCCAAATCGGGAAAGGAGTATGTCAAGGCTGTATATTGTCACCCTGCTTATTTCACTTATATGCAGAGTATATCATGAGAAACTCTGGGCTGGAGGAAGCACAAGCTGGAATCAAGATTGCCGGAAGAAATATCAATAACCTCAGATATGCAGATGATACCACCCTATGGCAGAGAGTGAAGAACCACTAAAGGGCCTCTTGATGAAAGTGAAAGAGGAGAGTGAAAAAGTTGGCTTAAAGCTCAACGTTCAGAAAACTAGGATCATGGCATGTGGTCCCATCACTTTATGGGAAATGGATGGGAAAACAGTGACAGACTTTATTTTTTTAAGCTCCAAAATCACTGCAGATGGTGACTGTAGCCATGAAATTAAAAGACGCTTACTCCTTGGAAGGAAAGTTATAACCAACCTAGACAGCATATTAAAAAGCAGAGACATTATTTTGCCGACAAAGGTCCGTCTAGTCAAGGCTATGGTTTTTCCAGTGGTCATGTATGGATGTGAGAGTTGGACTATAAAGAAAGCAGAGCACTGAAGAATTGATGCTTTTGAACTGTGGTGTTGGAGAAGACTCTTGAGAGTCCCTTGGACTGCAAGGAGATATAACCAGTCCATCCTAAAGGAGATCAGTCCTGGGTGTTCATTGGAGGGTCTGATGTTGAAGCTGAAACTCCAATACTTTGGCCACCTGATGCAAAGAGCTGACTCATTTGAAAAGACCCTGATGCTGGGAAAGATTGAGGGTAGGAGGAGAAGGGGACAACAGAGGATGAGATGGTTGGATGGCATCACCGACTCAATGGACATGAGTTTGGGTGGTCTCCGGGAGTTGGTGTTGGACAGGGAGGCATGGCGTGCTGCAGTTCATGGGGTCGCAGAGTCGGACACAACTGAGCGACTGAACTGAACCGTCATCTTAAGACTGTTTTTATTCTTGCCTCCTTCTTCCCTGAACTTTCACATACAGTAGCCAGAGATCTTAACATCTATATCAGATTATGTCAACCCCCAGCTGAAAATTCATCAGTGATTCCCCATTACACTTAGAATGAAAAATGAACTCCTTACAATGGCCTTATATTACTATGCAACTCCAGCCACACTGGCCGCCTTTCAGGTCTTCCAATGCCAAGTTGTACTATGTCTCAGGGACTTTACACATGCTGTTTTCTCTGCTTGTAATTCTCTTCAAATTGTTTGTGTCTCAAACTTTGAACTCAGCTACAATGTTATTTGCTCAAAAGGAACTTTCCTAACATCCTTTTTAGAGAAGGTTTTAGAATGTCTTTTATCTGTGCCTGACACATAGCAGGTGCGTAACATTCTTTCCAATTTGATTATTTCATTGAGGCTGCTTCTGAACTTTGATGGTCCAACTGCAAACCTGACTGAAGTCAGGACCCCCTTATTAGGTTTCTCTCGTAACACCCTACTTATAGTACACAATTTATAATTATTAACTTATCACAATTTATAATTATTAATTTGTGATTATTTGTCTCATGCTTTCTCTCTATATAAGCACAAAGGCTGTATCAGAGCACAAGTCCATAAAGGAATTATCACATATTTGTAATGATCTCCTTCTCTATCTCCCCACTTCAAAGCACATCCTCTCAGTTCAGGTACTATGTAGCACTGTCTTCAAAATACTTTATTGTACCTAAATATAAGAATCTGTTTTCTAAAAGGAAATTTCATAAACAAATGTATTTCAGCTAACCTGAATACATTTTTTGAATGAAGACCAAATAGTCAAATGCTATTGATTTATCAATTTAGCTACATATATATGTGGATATATATACATTTTTACAGTGATAAAATATATTTAGGAATTTCTTTTTTTCTGCTCTATTGACTAGAACAATTTATTAAAAAGCCTTTTTTTTGGGAGAGGGGTAATCATCTAACACAATTTTCCTGCACACACCATCTTCAGTTCTAAGCTATCTGGAAACTGCGCCCTTTGGATCTGAGTTAGGTGCCGTCCCTGTACTTCTTATCCCGAGCCAAAGGTATTCCTTTACTGCTGCTGCTAAGTCACGCAGTCGTCTCCGACTCTTCGCGACCCCACGGACTGCAGCCTACCAGGCTCCTCTGTCCATGGGATTTCCAGGCAAGAGCACTGGAGTGGGTTGCCACTGCCTTCTCCACCTTCACTATCTAATGATCTCTAAAACAATATTATGTGTAAAAGCAACCAGTTACTATGTTGCTTATTAAGATGATTTTTCCAAGGCTTTTTGGTTTTTTTTTTTTACAACTTCATTCAACATTTCTGTGATGTCTTACCCCTTAGGAATAATGGATAAATCTATATAAAATTGATTTTTTAAAAAATAAATTTCATCAGGTGGATTTTATACACATCCAAATTAGCACTGATTCAAGTCACTTAAGCTAGTGATTATTCTTCCCCAAATAGTTATTTTAAAAATTAAATAAATAACAGAATTTCTGCCTCATAATAGGAGAGATTTTTGAAGACTCAAATAACACTTTTTTATAAGAGATAATTTGGAGGAAGTGCTTATATTTAGGCTTACATGGTATATCAAACTGGGTATCCCATGTTAAAGCTTTAAAAACAGAAAAAGCAAAAATCAGTTGCTCATCTTTTCTCTCAACTTTTTTCTATGCCTAATAACACTTCAAACCCTGAGACAACCCTCAAGAGGACACACCTTTCCAACTTACTCTCATTCCTTTACAAATACAAGCAATCACTTATTATAGTTTAAATAGCCAAAGTTGCTTGTTCTCCTACTGCTATAGATCCCTTCTTGAATGGCTTCTTATACTAAAAATTACAACCAAAATTCTCACCTAATTATATTCTAAAACTTGTTACCACTGTCAGTGGGTTGTGTGGGGAGTAGACAAATTTGACTCTTGAGCCTTAAAAATATCTAAATGCATTAATGCCAGGAGTACCGAAGAGTACTTCAATGAAAAACAGAAAACTTGATGTGTTTATCACACAAGAAATATCTTTACCAAGAAATTGGCTACATATTTCTCTCCATGCTTTTATGCAAATTAGGTGGTCCTGGTGATAAAGAACCCGCCTGTCAATGCAGGAGATGTAAGAGACACAGGTTTGATCCCTGGGTCGGGAAGATCCCCTGGAGGAGGGCACGGGCAACCCACTCCAGTATTTCTTGCCTGGAGAATCCCATGGACAGAGGAGCCAGGCAGGCTACAGTCTACAGGGTCGCAGAGAGTCAGACACGATTGAAGTGACTTGGCACAGATGCATAGGCTATCCATAAAACTAGTTTATCATCTTAGAAGCCATATCTATAAGCCAAATGTATCATTAATTGTTAAGACAAAATAACAAAAATATGAAACAAATTAAACAACTTGAGTAATCTGCTTATCCATTTTAGAAGGTATAGATAGCAACTTCTAATTTCACATTAGGTCTCAAAAAAAACACAAACATTAAAAAGGGATTCTTTACTAGTAAATTTGGATGGAAAGAAACAGCTTTGAAAGCACCAGTATAATGTACAAACAGAATTGTGTGTACAATTCTGTACAGAAGACAGAATCCCACATTAGACTAATTAAAAAATTAATAGCTGCTATATGTAAACAGCTAGAGAAAGAGCCAACTAGGAGAAATTGGTATTTCATCCTGTGATGAAAAAAATTAAAGAAATATGGAAGGAGTGATGTATTAAAATATTTTACTATTTGATATCACAAGTCTTTAGGAGCAATATGAAGCAATTTCTGAAATCGGTTTGCTTTCAAAATAAACTGCATGACTCAGTGACAGCGGTTGATAGAGGTCAACTCTTCTAATCAAGTCAAAGAATCATATGGTAGTGTAAAAAGTCTTCCAGACCTGGTCCATCACCAAGGGACAAAAGATTTAGTTTCTTCAGATGGCAGGAGGGGGAAATGACTTGGCACCGCATCACACCCTTAAAATCCAATAGGGTTTCTTCCATGCCAACAGAGCACTGTGCGTCAAAGCAAATCTTGGTGTAGTATGGATGGAAAAACCATGATTTGTCTTCCATTTCCTGAACGCCTTATAAACACGCACAGTAAAACACTCCTGATCCCCATCACAGGTCATGGAAAAAAACCAATTTGGTTTTTTGGTTTCCACCCCCTCCCCTTGTATAGGTGCTTGCGCCTCTACACTGGGCCTTGGGGTTCTCTTCGCAGATCATTGTCCGGAGGGAAACTGAATGAGGGAGAAAAAGCAACGGGGGCTAGGCAGTTTGTCACCAAAAAAGAAATTAGTATTAAAAACACCGATCCTACCCTCCCTCCACTTTTCTCCTAGAAAACAAAAACAAAACCAACACTCGCCCCGCAAACTTGCCCCACCATTATGAAGATCATACAGGCGCTGATCAAATGTGCGTCCCAACCATCCTTGGGCAAGAGAACACCTGGGGCGAGTTTTCGGCCTCTCATCGCTCACCCCGGCCCTGGCCCAGCCCCTGGGCTGACAGGAGGGGCTCGCCCGACATTGGCCCGGAGGGAAAAGGAGGGATTATCGCCGAACTCCGCTCACACCCGGGGAAGAAGTAACACAGGGCCAGAGGGAACGCGGCTGAGGCTGCGGGCAAGGCCTCGGAACTGACGAGAAGACAGGCAGGAGCCGGCGTGAGGTGAGGCGGGAGAAGCAGCCGGGCCTAGGCCGCACCAGGCCGCGAAGTGGCCATACGCCGCTTCCCGACCAAGGCTGCGAGCCAAGCCTCAGGGAAGAGGGTTACCATTACCTGGACGGGTTCCTGCAGCACCGTCATCCTGGAGGTTCAGGCCCACTTTCTGCAGTGCCTCAGGCCCCCCCCGTAGCGACTCCGGCCCGGCCAGCCCCGGCTCATTTAAACTCACCAGCGACCGTTACCGGGGGATGGGGGAGGCCGAGCGAGAGCCGAGTACCTCCGAGCGGGACACGGAAAAACCCGAAGTGGAGAGACGCGCGCGGGGAGCCAGACGGAAAGACCCGAAGGAGACCGGAAATACCCGAGGTGAGTCGGCGGAGGAGAACACCGTTGCCGGAAGTTGTCGAGGAGTACCGGAGACGACCGAGCGTGATCCAAAGCGTATGTTCCTCTTCTCGGCCACGCCTTCACTCACGCACGCCACGCCCCGTCGGCCCTTAGGCAGGGTCACGCCCAATCGGTAACCAATAGGCTGGGCGTGGCGTGCGGGAGTCGGCCAGCAGCGTTACGTGGCCGGGCTTCAATCTTGATTCGCGATTCAAGCTTGCTGGATTAATTGGTGCGCGGTGGATTAAGCAGAGGTTTAAACTCAAGAGTTTGGAGCTGATTTTAATCAATCAAGAGGTATCTGTCTGTTAAGTTTAGGTCGTTTATCCATTCCTGAACTCTTATTCATGGCTCAAAGGGAAATAGGAAATTGGAAAGACTGCCACTATTTAAGGATTGAATTTGACCCCTGTCCTCAAATTACGGTCTGTTTAACTGAAAAGTAACGTAACAAAAAATGTTATGTCATGTGGTGCCCATTATAAAGTGATGTAAAAATCCAGAAGAGAGGAAAGGGAAATTAATTAGCATTAAGATGAGAAAGTCTCTCAGAGAGAGACTTTATTTTGGGGGGCTCCAAAATCACTGCAGATGGTGATTGCAGCCATGAAATGAAAAGATGCTTACTCCTTGGAAGAAAAACTATGAACAACCTAGACAGCATATTGAAAAGCAGAGACATTACTTTGCCAACAAAGGTCCATCTTGTCAAAGCTATGGTTTTTCCAGTAGTCATGTATGGGTGTGAGAGTTGGACCACAAAGAGAGTTGAGCCCTGAAGAATTGATGCTTTTGAACAGTGCTGTTGGAGAAGACTACTGAGAGTCCCTTGGACTGCAAGGAAATCTAACCAGTCAATTCTAAAGGAAATCAGTCCTGAATATTCATTGGAAGCACTGATGCTAAAGCTGAAACTCCAATACTTTGGCCACCTGATTCGAAGAACTGACTCATTTGAAAAGACCCTGATGCTGGGAAAGATTGAAGGCTGGAGGAGAAGGGGACGACAGAGGATGAGATGGTTGGATGGCATCACTGACTCAATGGACATGAGTTTGAGCAAGCTCCAGGAGTTGATGAACAGGGAGGCCTGGTGTGCTGCAGTCCACATAGTCACAAAGAGTCGAACAGGACTGAGGAATTGAACTGAAGATGAGAAAAGTTTCAGATGTAAGCCAGATTTTGAAAGATAGGTAGAATTAGAAGAAAAGAAAGGAGAAAGTGAAAGGGAGCAGAATGAGATCAATCTGGTAAGAGATTCAACATTAACTGCTGCTGCTAAGTCGCTTCAGTTGTGTCCGACTCTGTGCGACCCCATAGACGGCAGCCCACCAGGCTCCGCCATCCCTGGGATTCTCCAGGCAAGAACAATGGAGTGGGTTGCCATTTCCTTCTCCAATGCATGAAAGTGAAAAGTGAAAGTGAAGTGATTATTTAGGTGGCCAGATCATGGAAAATCTCAGAAATAGGGCAGAAATGTTTATTCTTGATTAGGAGAGGCATTGTGATGTATTGGGAAATCAGGAGGTTAGATTTCAGTTTTATCTCTGGCACTATTAGCTTTAGGTCCTTAGGCAAGTCACAACCTCACTGAACTTGTATTTTAGTTTAAAGACAACCATTAAGAGGACGAAATGCATTAATATATGTGACTGTCTAACACATATAGGAGGCTCTCAAATTTCCTTCCTATTACCTCTCCCCCTAAAGTGTGTGAACAGGGAACTATTAAGATTTTAGTTTTTGGTAGATGAGAAAAACAGTCTTTGCAGTATTTTTAAAATTGAAATATAGTTGATTGACAACATTGTGTTATTTTCAGGTGTATAGCAAAGTGATTCAGTTATTTTTTTCAGATTAATTTTCCACTATAGGTTTTGCAAGATATTTTTATAGTACCATGTGCTATATGGTAAATCCTAGTTGCTTATCTATTTCATGTATAGTAGTTTGTATCTGTTAACCTCATGTTCTTAGTTTATCTTTCTTTCCCTCCCTTTTCCCTTCCGTATCCATAAGGTTGAAGAAAACACTTTTTGAAGGTTGACTTCCTAATCAGGGCATTTCTAGGCTAGATGTGGGACTTCTGTTTTAAAAATATGGCAAAGACTGTTTTTCTCAACCATTTGTGTGGATATTTCTCTTTCTGGTTCTAACATTTTATGTAGATGAAATCAGTTCAGAATTGGTCACTCCCTTCCTTTGGGTGGTGGTGTGGGGGGCGGGGGGTGGGTGGATGTTTTGTTTTGTTGATAGAGCTATGACCTTACTGGTGGCCATCCATAGTCACTGCCTATGTACTCGTAGCCCCAGAAAGGGTAAGGTGAGCTTATGCTGCCCTGTGGCTTGTTCTGTTAGCAGGGTTGGGCTGGGTGAATTAGGGAGGGAATAGTGTCCAGTGTGGTAGTCACTAGCTAAACTTTAGTTAAAATCAAGTGAAATTTAAAATGAAACTCTTCAGATGCTCTAGGCCCATTCCAAGGACTCAGTAGAGACATGTAGCTAGTGATTCCCATACTGGATAGCACAGGTACAGATTTATTGCCGTCACTGGCTTGATGAGGACTGTAAGATCCACGATAGCTTCGCTCACATCTTGGGCGCCTTGGTGCTGGTTGTTGGCTGAGCCCCTTAATTCTCTTCCACCTGACTTCACATCAGTCAGTCGTCTGACCCTAACTTCTTGACTTGGCACCTGGCAGCCAAGAAGACAAAGACAGAAGCTGTGAGGCCCCTTAGGGCCAGGTCTGTAAGTCAAGCTCCGTCACTTCTAGTTGGTCAAATTAAGACACAGAGGCCGCTGGATTCAACTGGAGGAGAAATGAGTCTGCTTCTAGATGGGAAGAGTGGAAAAGCAACACTGCAAAAGGCATGTGCCGTGGGAAGGATTGATCATCTTTGAAAACACTCTACCAGGTTTGAGATGCCAGATGAGAGAATCTGGTGGGGGGAATGGAAAGAAAGTGTGTGTGTGTGGGGGGGGTAATTACTCCTAAAATGTGACACAATATTACTTTTAAAATGTGATGCTTTAACTGACCACAGCACTCCAGATTTATTCCAATGAATTCAGAATACAGTAGGACTCATGCTTTTATTATCTGGATGACTTCTATTAAGGTGGGCTAAAGTTTTACTTATATAACTGATCCTGCTAAGCTTTTGGTCATTTTACACACACACACCACTTTTTCACACAACAGGCTTCCAAGTCATGTACCTGGGCATTTGATTCTTGTAAATTTCAATGTAGAAACTTACAACACAGGATATATAAAGATGATTTTTGTGTGTGTGAAAATGTGTGTCTAGACTCAGCATTTAGAGATTCTGTGATGTTTGGCATGCTGGGTCTTAAGCTTAGAATTTGCCTAAAGTCCCACCTCGCCCCCCGACCCCCATACCCTTTTTTTCTTTTTTCTGAAAAAGAGCATCTCTTTTCTGACCGTTGTTCATGGGCTAACACATCTGTTGCAATTTTGTGGTCATTCAGAGCAAGACCACATTGTTTGAAGTGGTGCTTCGATGGACTCTTTTAGAGCATTTTTACTTCCTTTTCTATTCCTGATTGACCTACTTAAACGCACCATCCAGCAACTACTTGGGCATCCTGCCATCACCAATCCACATATATTTAGCTGGCAAGTGGACTTAGATTACAGTAAACATTATTCCAAACATGATATTCTTTCCTTTTTCTTAGCCTGCCTCTTGTTCTGTTTCATGTTCAATCAGATTGGAGGTCAGGGTTTAGGGAACTATTCAAGAAGCTAGATATGGTACCACAGACAAGGTACAGGCCCACTGAGATAACCCAGAGAAAGCTCAGTCTTCTCAACTCCTTGAGTCCTCCTTATCTGTACCCTTCTTTTGTCCCTGTTGACGCTGCCTCTTATCCTCTTTATATTACCTACTCTGAGGCTCCGCCCCTCTCTCCCCACCCAAGTCATCAAATCAACTCCTTGAGACTTCCCTGGTGGTCCAGGGGTTCAACTCCGAGCTCCCAACGCAGGGGGCCCGGGCTTGGTCCCTGGGCAGGGTATTAGATCCCACATGCTGCATCTAAGACCCAGCACAACTAAATAAATACATGATAAAAAAAATATTTTTTAAAAAACAATACATACCATGTTAGTATTGCATTAAAAAAAAATCATCCCTTTACTTTGGCATCTCTGATGACTGTTTCCTGGTTTTCTTTCTACTGCTCTGTTTCTTATCAGTTTCCTTGACAGAACTTCTAATATCAGAATGCTTCACAGGGTCAGTTCTAGGCCTTCTCACTCTATATATTCTTCCAAGGTGAACTTATTCTCATGGTTTCATTTTTTTAATTGAAAATTGTTCCATAATCTCCGTCTCTAGCCAGGCTCTTCTTAGAACTCCAGGCCTAAATGCCCAGCTGTCAACTGGATATCCCTCTCTGGGTGTGTCACAGGTACTTTGTTCAGAATGGAACTCCTCACTCTTCTATTTGAATTATTATCTGTCCCAGTTTCTCCATTGCCCAAACCTGAAACCACTCTTTAATAACCCTAATGTCTGGTCTCAAAGCCCTGCTGATTTTACCTCCTAAATGGACTTTATTTTTATTTTTTTCTAAATGTACTTTAAGGTTTCTTCTGCCTCAGGTCTCACCTCCCTCCAAAAACAAGTCTAATCATGTCAGGACTCTCCTCCCTATGCTTCTCCACTGTTGACCTAAAACAAATAGACTGCCAGTTATTGCTTCAGCATAAAAATGGGTTTATTTGGGACAGCGAAGAAGTGCAGTGTCTGCAACCATGGTGAGCCACGTGCAAGTCACCAGCAAACAAATGGAGAAGGAGAACTCTTTTATGGCAGGGAAAAGGAAATTGGGAGGGCTATAATAAATAAAAAAAGTCTATGACCCTTCTTTGGCTGAGTTATATCAGTCTCTCATTGAGTGAGCTCTTTCAGGAAAGGAGAGGAAGTCTTTCTTCTTCCTATTGGACTCTCTTATTGTCTGGGGATGTGAGAGCTCCCTCTTCTGGTCTCCCAACTCTATTTTAATTGAAGTTTCTGTTGATTAA